ACCAAGAACCCTGACCTTGGACCCGGAGAATCCTACCAGGCTGGTTGTGGATGGTTTAAGGTCTTGTAGTCCCTTCTTCATGCTCTTGAGCGTGGAGTAAAACAGGATGTCTGCTGAGCTTCTGTTGTCAACTAAGGCCCGGGTGACCTTAAACTTCTTCGTGCGGAAAGAGATGACCAGCGGGTCTTCTCCACATTCTTCGGGCGCCAGTTCCGAGGGTGCGAAACTGATCTCGACTTGTTCTTTCCTGTGCATGTTCATGCATTGCACCAAGCGGTCCCCCTTTGTCCAAGGACGCTTGTGTCCTCCGGCGATGGTGATTATTTCGACTCCCTCTTCCTCTTCTCGAGGTGGGTGTCGATGAGGAGGGGCGTGCCTTGGCGGTGGCGGAGGCAAGCGCTCCCTGCGTGGGGTTCGCTCCCTTCTCGGCGACCGGGATCTCCAACGTCTGGGCGTGCGGGACCTTCTCCTTGGACTGGGCGACCTGTCCCTTTCCTCCGTTCTCTCCCTGGGGTGCGCCCGTGTGTCCAGGCGGCTTTTCAGGTCTCCCAGTGCCAGGTACTTGAGCCTGGCTTTGAACTTACGGGACTCTCTGGTATCGTGAGTCAGTAGCTGATGCCAGTCGCACCACTTTTGGTCGTCGTCCCTCCTTTGGCGGGGACATGCTTCCAGGGTTTTGCCCCCATCGCGGCGTCCGTCGTCCTCTTTTTCTGACGCGAACACCTCACGCCTTCCGTTCCTGTTGTTGAACCTGGGTTTGTAGTTTTGTCGCTCGGGCGTGCGCCCCCTTCGCTTTGGCGACCCGTTCCTTCCTTTTTCCGCTTTGTTTGATAACGTTGGTGCCCCTTTTGCGCCTTCTTCGGTGTTGAGCGCTTCTTCCAAGAAGATGGCCTTTCGTACCACGCGGTCTAGATCTTGCCAAGACTTGATGTTGTGTTCCTTTTTGATGAGAGACCTCTTTAGTTCCTGGCTATGCGTCGACATTCTCAGGTTCCCGGCGGCCACGCTGGTTGAGACTTCTTGGACCTCGCAAGCTATTGTATTCCATCGGTCATAGAAGTCGGCCAAGGTTTCCTCTTCTCCTTGTTTGCAGTTGATGAAGGCGGAGACTGTGAGCTGCCTCCTACGCTGAGAAGCGAACTTCAAAGAGAAAAGGGTGGCGAACTGCTCGAAGTTCTCGATTATCCCGGCTGGTAGGGACGCGTACCAGCTTCGGCACTACCCCCCGAAGGTGACTGGAAACGCCTTGCACATATCAGCGTCTGAGGCATTAATCAGCTGCATCTTGAGCATGAAGGCGCTCAAGTGATTCGATGGATCTGAGTTTCCCGTGTAGGCAGGGAGGCTGAGCGACGAGAAGTTTGATGGCACCTGGGTTTTGAAGAGGCTCTTCGCCAAGGGGTTGTGCAGCACGTTGTAGCCCTTGGGCTTCCCGTAGCAAGGTCGCAAGTGTTCTTCGAGGAGGTCAAGGTGGACGCCGTCAGTGTCTTCCTCTCTGTCGGATTCTCCGTCTTCTGTGCGAGGGGGATTGGGAGGCATCTCTCCGTCCACGCCCTTGCCCTTGCCACCTCGCATCTTAGAACTTTCGGGCTCGTCTCTTGTTTTGAGCATGGTGAGAATCTGGCTCAAACTCTCTTGCATACTGGTGATCTGCTGCCCCTGGTCTCTCACACGCTCTTCCATATCTTTTTCTTCTTCGACCGTCGGCATTTCCAAACCTCTGATGCTTTCCCCGCCGATGACGTCCTTCACAGGAGTTCTGAAGTTCCCCTCCATCTTTTGATTCAAACGCTCCGCTCCGGCCCCACGGTGGGCGCCAAATTGTTTGTGCCTAGTAGATACTAGGCAGTTTGTGGAGCTGGGGCGAGGCGCCTGTTCTTGGATGTTGGGGAGTACTCCTGATACTCTGCAAAACAACGGTCCGGGGCGGTTCGCCCGGAACAACCTCCGAAGCTTAAGTTAGAGAGAGAAGGGGAGAGATAAGAATTTATGTAGAGAGATGAATAGTAGTTGGTCTTACCATTAATGCACTCACCCTCTATTTATACCTGGTTTGAGGGTGGTTGGGGCATTAAATGCTATGTCGGGCGCCCCAGACCTGGTCGGGCGTCCCGTGCAGGCTTTTTGGGTCATGTCAGGCGTCTTGGGCAGGCTTTCAGCCTTTCTGCAGGCCGCCTGTGGCCGGCAATAAATGCTCAGTCTTTCCTGACACCAGATATGCATCTTCAACGGCTCTCTGCCCTTCTCTGCTGCTCAGTTTCTTTATGTCAGGCGCCCTTATCTATTCCTCGGGTTCGCAGTCGATCATGGACCGCCCGCTGACCCGGTCTTTCGATCGGGCCCGCCCTTCTTATTGGGCCTTAAACGCCGACTCGCCTCTCTTGGGCCCGAGCCCAAGTACGCTCAACTATGCGGCCCAACACTAACCTCCACTTATTAATTATATAACCATCATTAATTAAACCAAGTTACAAACACTTAATGAAGAAAATAACATTTAATGAAAAAAAAGGGGCGGAACAACCGCCCAGCTCTGGCGGTTGTCCCGCCCTACCCCTAATCTGCTCCCCCATCTCCCCCATAAATGCTGACTCCCCTATATCCCCCTCCATATTTGGAGACCCAAATGGAGGCCACCTCAATTAATGCAGTTTTTTGCTTTTTTGCCGGCTGCATTGGAGAGCTCCCTCCCCCATTTATGAAGGCTCCCACATTTATGTGGGTTGCATTGGAGTCAGCCTTAAGTAAATTTTTTTTATTCATCATTAATTCTTATATCTTATTTTAAGCATAAATTCATCTAGATGAAAAAAAAAATATGAGAGGAGCTCTCTCTTCTCTCATCGAAGTGTGTTGGGTGGATGCTTTCCTGCCTTTCTTTGATCGCTGTCGATCGGTCGGCCAACTCCTCTTCCACTTCTTCGAGAAGGTGCTCGCCGTTACCCTAGAAAACTAGGGGTCAAAGGAAATTCGGTGGACTATTTTTCCCTAGGCCGACGGTGTTGACCAACGTGGTTCGTTCTTACAGTCTAAAGACGAGGACACGAAACGACACGGTGACCGGAAAAGAGACCATAGGCAGACTTTGTGTCACTGCCGCTATACCAAATATGGGATCCATAAACGCAAAATCAAGAACTCATTTGTGATTGGACTCGATCTTGATTGTCCCCAGCGTAAACGCTTGCGACGTTTGAAACACCAGACATGGTGATTCCATCTGCCTTCGTCTAGTGAATTAGAAAGTGAGGAACGGGTTGTTCCTGCTCCACTGTCCTTCCCGGCGAAGAATCCCGATAGGGATGAAAATATCCTAGGCGCCTCGCACAAGCCAGACCTTAGATCCCGAATTGGGGCAAGTTCTTTCTACCAGCTTAGGGAGGAAAAGTTACCCGGGAATCTTACCCTGCTCCGGTCGGCGACATTTTGCCGTCCGTTGCCGTTGACGAAATTTCTGCATGCGTGTGATGCTGCAGGCAAAACCTCTGTGGGATTACCCATTCCCGAGATTTTCGTACCGGCCTCAATGATTTCCACCTCAATCCACCCCTCAACGGTTGGGAAAATCAGATAATTCCTTTTTCAAATCTCCCAGACTACCAATCCAAGTAGAACATCAATTGTCGTTGGGTTTTCCTGGCTCTGCCTCCCCTTTAAATTGTCTCCGTTTTTCAGCTACTCTCATTCGCAATCGACGAGAGAAAGACCTGGTGGGACAACGAAGAGCATCCATCCAACGACAAAAGTCGCTCTACTCTGGTACGTGGGAAATCTCTCTTACTGAGATTAATCTTTTGCTCTGGCAGCGAGTGGCCCTTGTTCGCAGGATCCCTTTCGCATTCTCTTGCTTCCCCTGGTCGGCATTTGGGCACTTCGGAATTGATCTGAAAGGTGCTAACCCTGTTGCTTTGCCTCTTTCACATACGGGCACCATGGCGAACATCACCAATGATCAGGTCATCCACTTTTCCCTTGAAGAGGTCCAATCGGATAGGATCCGAAACTCCAGGACTCTCCTTGGCCGCTTATTTACTGAGAACAGAATCTCTGTCACAGAGCTTCACGATTCGATTAATAAGCCGTGGCAAGGCCAATGCCGTATCAAAATGAGTTTGGTTGCTCATGGCCTTTTCGAGTTTGTGCTCTCAAATGAAGATGCAAAACAATGGGTGCTCAAACAGACGCCAAGGGTTATATCGGACAAAATCCTTCACCTACGGACTTGGGTCCCTACTATCACGAAATGCACCTTCGACGAGCTTGCTATTGCTCCGTTCCGAGTCCAACTGTGGGATGTCCAAGAGGACTATTGCACCCAAAGCTTTGGACGAATAGTGGCGAATGCCACTCTCGGACGATTCCTGGAGGCGGGCGTGTACTCGTGCACTGATTCGGGGTGTCGCTTTATAAAGATTAAAGCCCTTATTGATTTCTCCAAACCTCTGTGCTCCCAAGTCATGGCAACCAATGAAGAGGCAGGCGATTTTTGGATTCGGTTTAAATACGAATACCTTCCAAGCTTCTGTTACAACTGTGGCCGGGTTGGGCATTCTCGCCAGGACTGCTCATTTGACCCTCCCTCTAGAAAGGAGCGATTTGGTCATCACATGTCGACAAAGAAGATGGGCAGGAAGGTATTTGCTAAGGAGGAAGGTACTCCATCCTTTTATGGAAATCCAAAGTCAGTTTGGACTAATACCGCAACTCAGGGAAATAGGGATGCACCATCTCGGTTGCATCGACCCTCGACCGAAGTGAACAGGCGGGAGATAGGGACGGCTAAGAGACCCGTTCTTGAGTATAGTCCACTATGGATGGGATCCTCAATGCAGTCGTTCATGACAAATGAATCACGGAATCATCAAGGGAGGAGCCCACTCCGATTCCAGGTTACGAAAGCTCCGAAAATCCTCATGGGTAGGCAGAGTCGTAGAGGTAAACTGAAAAAAGAGGTTGACACTGCCCCTTTGGAGATTGGTCAACATTCAACAAAACTGCCGCAACAAGATATTGAGACGCAGATGAGACGCCGATGCCGCCTAATCTTGGAGGAGGAATCAGAAGATGATTTCAGCTTTCAAGACTTCTTCATCCCTGTTCACGCGTGTCCTCAAGGTGTTGTTGTCCGAGACACTCGACACAATGAGATGGTCAAGTCCAATGGAGCTGCTCCTATACCCCCGCGGCAACCAGTTGCTATTAAAAAGAATATTCAGAACAAGAAAGGAGATCATTCTCCTGGCACTAGGAAGTTGATGCCCACTGCTAAGTAGCAACGTAAGCTGCGACCTATAACTGCTAAGACTAGCAGCTCCAAAGGTATAGGGGCCGATCGATCTTGCAAAATGCCCAAGGGATGTGATAGAGGGATGTCCCCAGAGATGGTGGATGCACTTGGCGGGAATATGGAAGCAGATACACCTTTCTTGGCCGATCCTCTACGTCCCCAATCAGCTGATGCAACACGTGAGTTGGTGGATTCGGAGGAATCTTTGTCGGGAAATGATGGGCATCCCTATGAGATTCGCCGACGGGACCCGAGTACGAAAAGGTAATCGCAACGATTGGCTCAATCATCCCGTGTGCGCCAGGTAGTGCGGGCGTTTGAGGCTGGGCTGACCATGAGTAACCCGGTTAATGAGCAAGGCCTACGTCAACCAATAACCTCAGACATTCTGGACGCTGGGAAGGAGGTGTTTGATGACAATGGCCTTAATGAATATGGTTCCAATTTATGTGGTTCTGGGATAGAGCTCAAAAAGCGTCATATTGCTGATGTTGATGGTGACATTGCAGAATCCCCATCACCTAAAAAACAATTCGTTGAAGACAAGGATGGACTGGAAACGGTGGAGGTAGTCAGCCGTGAATGGCCCCATCCAGATAAATGAGGCTTCTTGCCTGGAACGTGAGAGGAATTGGACCATCCCTCACATTCCAAACTGTTGTCGGTTTAGTTCATTCCAATAAACCGGATCTCGTATTTTTTTTTGGAAACACGATCGAGCCGGAGAGTAGTTTCCCGTCGTATGCAGGGTCTAGGTTTTGATAATTCTCATTGTTTTTTTTTGTTGATGCGATTGATGCATTTGGTGGTTTAGTTGTAGCTTGGTCCTCTGAGGTTGACGCCTTGGTGTTTTTCCATTCCAACTTCTGTATTTGTGCCCAAATCAATGAAGTGGATTTCTCTTATGTTGTGTTTTTGTTTACGTTAGTTGCAATGTTGCGATTCGCACCACCCAATTGGCCCAACATCAAGAAATTTGTTCCGATATTCATCTTCCCTATGTGGTCATAGGAGATTTTAACACTACTCTCCATGAGGTGAGAAAGATGGTGGTCTTTCGTGGAGTGCTGCTCAAGCTCTTAGCCTTCGTGATTTTGTCCATAATCTAGGGCTTCATGACCTTGGATTTCTTGGTGACCAATTCACTTGGACGAATAAGCAGATGGGAATGGCTTGCATTCGTGAGAGATTGCATAGAGCATTGTGCTCCCAGAAATGGATTGATTTATTCCCAGAAACTCTGGTCAAGCATTTTACGGATCAGAGATCTGACCATCGAGCCATTCTCTTTTTTGACAAGCCTTATGCCCGTAATAGACGCCCCCTTTTCTGTTTTGATGCTCGATGGGTTGATTCTCCGGAGGTCAAGGCTATGGTGCAGTATGTCTGACAAGAGGATATTCACGGTACTCCGATGTTTCGACTTTGGGAGCGCCTTAAGAAACTCCGTCATCTACTATATGACCGGAGTCGATCTGGCACTACGAATTCTTTGCGAAATATAAGAACCCTCCAGGCCGAAATTGATCGGATTAAATTAGTCCATCAAATTTACTAGGAGAAGGTCCGGAGATTGGAAATTGAATTAAATAGACAGTGGGAAGCGGAGGAAGTTTACTAGCAACAAAAGTCAAGAGTACAATGGTTGAAAAAAGGGGATAAAAATATAGCTTACTTCCATACGGTCACCAGGGCTGGTCGAAAATGGAACTTTGTGGCTGGCCTTCATAGTGATGAGGGTGAACAGGTTACTGCGGAAAATGAAAAAGCTACCATTGCCAATGATTTTTATCATACATTATTTACCTTGGAGTATCAGGTCCCTCATATGTCTGCTCGAGTGGCCTCTCTCCCTATTTCTCACTGTGTTACTCCTGAAATGAATGTCGGCCTTACGGCGGAAGTTCTCCCTCAGGAAGTTCGAAGAATGGTCTTTTCGATGGGATCTAAGTAGGGGTGGTCAAACGGTTCGGTAAACCAGAACCGAACCAAACCGAAACCGAATTAAACCGAACCGAAACCGAATTAATGTTATTCGGTTCGTAAGGAAAATATGGATAGTTCGGAAATCAGGGTTCTTTCAACCAAACCGAATTTCCGAATTCCCGATCGAAAAACCGAGATACTATAATTGCAAGCTCCAAATGGTGGATTTTTATGTTTTTAGTTGTTTTTAGACTTAAAAATTTGAAATGTTTTATGACTTATGTGTTGAAAAGTTTGGATTTATCATTGATGATGCATATAATTGACATTTATTGTTTATATTAGGGGTGAAAAATAATTTAAAAGTGAGAAAATACAAGTAGCCTCACAAATTCGGTTCTGTGTGAAAAACCGAACCGAATTATAGTTCGGTTTAAACCGACCGAACCGAATTATAATTCGGTTCGAATTCAGTTTGAGGTTTGGGATAATTCGGGGACCCGGTATTCATAATTTCGGTTCGGTCGAAACCGTACCGACCGAATGCCCACCCCTAGATCTAAGCAGGCTTCAGGTTTTGATAACACCCAAGCAAGGTGTTGAGTCCACAAATCGAACTTGGCAGCAAAACTCTGCAACGTGGCCAAGCAACCGAGTTGATAACAATAATTAAAACGAAAAGGGTGGAACTCTTGTGCAATCCTACACTTGGAGGAAGTCTCAAGGAGTATACGTCGAAGCTCGCCCACGATCAAGGTGGTTTTTGATCGATACAAGAGCATATTCGAGCTTGGTTTTCTCGGCCAAACTCTCAACCAAAAACTAGCTACGCGACTTATGCCATGTTCACTTCCCATTTCATTTTCTGTTTTCTGTTTAAAAAATGAAAATCAGGAAACAAATGACATTTAAACGTGTTCACTTGACCATTCCATTTTCCCTGAAAAAACCCAATTATTACAAATGAGAAAGCTTTGGGAAAACGATTTATACCTGTTTTCCGAAAATAATGACACGGGTTATGCCCCCGTTTCCCAGCGGAAAACACACTAATCCTCCCAATCGGCCCGCGTTCAATTCACCCCAGACGCTCTTTTTTACCCTTTTTCCTCCGAGCTCCTACGCTGCCGTTTTGCCATCCCAATCAAACCTAGAGACTACTTCGGCCTCTCCTCCCACTTCGTTCCACAACCCGCCGCTCATCTTCCTCTTCTCCCTCCGCTCAACTTCGGCCCCCTCCGCACATCTTCCTCTTCTCCCTCCGCTCAACTTCGGCCCCCGCCGCTCATCTTCCTCTTCTCCCTCCGCTCAACTTCGGCCTGCCGCCGATCTTCCTCTCCTCCCACTTCGTTCCACACCCCCGGCGATCTTCCTCTGCCCCCACTTCGTTCCACACCCCCGCCGATATTCCTCTCCCTCCAGCTTTGTCGCCGCCGATCTTCCTCTCTCCTCCCATCATCTTCCTCCTGCTAGCGACCCATAAGAAGTAGAAGTCATCGCCGACTTCCTCCAACAGACGGGTCCGCCATCATCTTCCACTCCCTCCATCCTCTCCTCCCACTCCCTCCAGCCTCTCCTGCTAGCGACCCGTAAGAAGTAGAAGCAGCAGCCGGCGCCCCGACTTCCTCCAACAGAGAGCTCCAGCCGCCGATTCCAGGTACTTACTCTCCTTGCTGCGACCAATCCATGCTTGCTTGTGATGATGAATTGGAGTGGTTTGGTAATGTTTTGTGAACAATGGACAGATTTGTTGCTTTATTGTTTTGATTGCAAATGATGTCTTCTTTTGTTTTGTTTGATGTCAATTTGTTGGTGATATCTTATTTCGTATTGAATTGTAGCGTGATAAGCGATGGCTGATATTGATGTCGTAAACAATAATGATTGTGTCATACTTGAGGGAGCCGAGGTTTGGCCTGATAAAGTAGTCGAGTATTTTATTGCTTTGATGCTCGAGGAAGTAAAGAAGGGGAACAAACATACGACAACTTTCACTAAATTGGGATGGTCCAACATTGTAAATGGGTTGAAGATAAAGTTCAACAAGGACTATGCCCCAGATCAGTTGAAGAATAAATTTAATTTGATGAGGAGGAAACACCGGGAATTCAAGGACTTAATCAGCCAGACTGGAATTAGTTACTCTTCTGTAACAGGAAGGATTGCTGCCTCTGATGAGCAGTGGAAGGTGTGGAACGAGGTAATTGACATTTTTAGTCATTGTGATTGAATTGAAAGTAGTATTTAGGAAAGAGGAATTGATTAGAATGTTGCATTTGCAGCGATACAAGATGATGGGGACTATTAGGAAGCATGGATGTCCAGAGTATGCAAACCTGTGCATATTATTTGGTGATACAACTGCCTCTGGTGCGAATGTTGTTGCTTCTACTCACGAGGTCTCAGATAGTAGTGGTGGACCTAGCAAAGCAAATGATGTGGATGTTGATGGTGAAGAAAATGTGGGTGGAGTCTCTGGTTGTGCCAAGGAGACGTTTCCCAAAGTGAAGGGTAAAGGAAAGAAGAGAAAAGCAGCTAAATCTGGCTTTACCAATGCAGTGGAGAATGCCATAATCAGCATGGCTGAAGACTCCAAAAGGAAGAGTGAGAGGCGTGAAGCCAAGGAGGCCGCCTCTTCGGTTGGAGGACCTGTGCATGATGTATCTTCACAGGATAAAGAGCTTGACATTATGACTGAATGCATGAATTTATTAGATGAAATGGAGGTGGAGGCTAATGTATTTGTGAAGGCTTTCGATGTTCTACATGATTGTCCACTGAAGAGAGGACTTTTCTTGCGTATGACAGAGAGGAGAAGGAAAGAATGCTTGTTGAGTTTAGTGTGACTATGCGTGTTTGTTGAGAACTGCAGTGACATTTGTTTGTTGAGTGTTTGATGAGTTCTTACCGTGATGTTTTATGAATTTTAGCATGATGTTTGATGACTTTTAATATTATGTTTTCTTATTGTAAGAATCTTATTAAATAAGTTGTAATTGAATGTTTGAGTGTTATATCACTTGTATTTGGGTTATTATCCATTTCTAATGAAGTTCTTATGCATTGCAGAACTTATGAATTTAGATTCAGATTCAGATTTCGATGAAGAGTTGAAATTCATAATGCTTGTGGCTTTGTTGGAGAATGAGCAATCTAAGTCTATTAGGATGCCATGTAGAACCTCAGTGCAAACAGGACATGCTTGGGTTCAAGAACTTCTCCGTGGGCATCCGATTAGGATATATGAATCACTCCGAATGGATAAAGAAATTTTCTTTGCTTTGTGTGAGGAATTGAAGCAACATGGTGGGTTGAATGATACAACTAATGTGATGGTCGTAGAACAAGTTGCAATCTTCCTCAAGACTATAGGTCACGCAAATGACTTCCGCGACCTTGCAGAACGGTTTCAACATTCTACTGCAACCATCTCAAAGTACTTTAATCTAGTGTTGAAAGCAGTGGT